GCTGTGACTAAAAGACCTGGACAAGAACAATTAGAGGTGGAAATGTTTATTTTGGGGCTCACTAAGACCTTTAGAGGTCTTACTTCAAAAACAGCTGTTGTGGTGTGAACTGATAAATACAACCAATAAGAGTGTAAATTATAGATTATAGATTAGTAAAAAACATAGATAGAAGATTTTGATAAGTGAGATAAGACAATTATAAAGCAAAAACTGTCATAGATAGGCCTAAGACTCCATTTGGCTGCCTTCTATAAAACAGTTACAAGAGCTGTTTCTGAGAAAGTGAAATGAAAGCTGTTTATCTTCTTATAAAAATTATTTTTCTGTACTTTGTACCCCACAAATTGTACCTTACTCAGGATGTAGTGGTGGTCATGGTGAGCTACCTCCTGGGTTTGAATGCCCTTGTGGGTCTACATGGCCTTGAAGTAGATTCTCGCCCTGCTGACCCCCGCCCAAATTCAGGATGCGACTGTCCAGCACCTGTTTGAACCCAGGACTGTGGTCAACCGAACTGCAAAGCTAATGCTTTTTTTGCTTCTGTTTATCACTTGCTTGCTGACTGGAAAATTCCAGTCCTGCCTAGAGCCCACAGGTCCCTCTTATTAATTTTTTAATTTCTATGATTGGCTAGCTTACATGACGATAAACAAGTCACTGAGTTGTGCTTTTTGTGCTTATATTCTCTTTGGATGGACCAGGAAGCTGCTGTCCTCCCACAGAGCTTGAGTCTCTGCAGTGGGTGACAGTCCCTGGCCAGGTAAATAAAGCTCTCTTTTGATTTGAAATTTGGACTTAGAGTGCTTTCTGAGGTGTCTCCCCATAATACAGCTGGCTCCATTCCTTGGGGCTTGAAGTGAGGCTGAATATAATGGTGGCAGAGAGTGGTGGAAGAAAACAGCTGGGGAATCATATCAGGAAGCAGAAAGGGAAGATTCTACTCATCAGATACAAAATGTATACTCCAAAGGCAGATGCTCAGTGACCAACCTCCTCCAGCCATATCCTACCTGCCTTCAGTTACCACTCAATTAATCCCTACAAGGGGATTAATTCACTGATTGGATTAAAGCTCTCAAAACCCAATCATTTCACCTCTGAATATTCTTGAACTACCTCATACATGAGGCTCTTGGGGAGCACCTAATATCTAAACCATAATAGTCTCTCTCTGTCAATTCTTCCTTACCAAGCAATAAACTAATTAGGTAGAGAGAGTATGTGCTTATCAAAAGTGAAACATAAACAGATAAGTTAGTTTTATACAGTGTTTGCATTCTTCCAGTAAAAACAAAATATATATGCATAGATGAGCTGTACAATATGAAATGCATAATTTCATCGATTTCATATTAAAAGCTTTTAGATTTGCACATTAAACCGACATTGCACAATATAAAGAAGAATGAAAAAATGCTTACAATTAAAAATTTTAAGTCCTTTACACAGAGTGACATTAAATAGCAAATATAAAACTACCATGAGAAGTTGGGGGATTGCAAAAGAATGTAAAAAGCTTTATATTTTAACATCTCTAAAGGCATTTCTTCCTGCTTTTTGAAACAGAGCACCACATTCTCATTCTGCACAAGGGCCTTCAGGTTATGTAGCTGGTTCTGGATCTAAGTGTGACCTGATCTCCTCAGTCATTATGGGACCTGCATGGGCTTGGGGATCAGGGGAGTGACCCTACACTCCTTTTCCACCTTTGCCCCTACATCAAGTAGTCCTGGCTGTTCACCCCAGGATGCTGCACTAAGATGAGAACTTCTTGAGTGCCTATGGGGAGACAGCCAGGGAGGTTTCCTCTGGGATCACTCAGAACACCATCTGTACCACAGCTGGCTCTTGGGTTTGTCACAGGCATCCTGATGGACTTGAGCATGTAGAGAATCCCTACAAAACACAAGTTTACCACTCCAGAGCACGGAGTTCTTGTGCCTTCTGCCTAGAATGTTACCCCTGCTCTTGTAGGATAGCTTCTCTCTGATCTTCCAATGTTTGCCCAAATGCTTTCTCCTCAGAGGACCTCATTTACCACAATACTCTCTTGCAATTCTTTTCAGAACTTTTCCCAATTAGCTTATACATTTCTTATTTTGTCTTCTCTGTGAAGTACACGGGCAAGAACCTGGTCTCCCTTGCTCCACACTGTAGCCTGGCTCCCATCTCTGGACTTGGCATAGAGACCATAGGAAATGTTTGTTTGGTAAATGAATAAATGTAATTAGACACCCATAGGATTTGTTAGATTATTCAGTGTTTTTCAAAATTCAAATCTAAGACTTGTATCAATGAAGCAGCAAAATCCAGATATCAGCTATGACATAACCAAAGAGGTTTAGATTTTTGCTAAAGCATGTGCAGACCTGTTGCGTTTTAATGAAACATTAAGGGAATAGTTAATTATTGATGGCATAGGCTGACACATATAGTTTTAAAAGTCAATATTTTTTTTCAATGTATTTTTTTAAAGAAACAAAATAGAAAACAACAACAACAACAAAAACCAAACAAACCAAAAAAACTCTCTTTCTTCTTTTTTAAAAATATTTTCCTCTCTTATTATATTTCTCATTTCTGACCTAAATATTAGCCCTTCTGCAGAAAGAATAAAGAATAAATGATTGGAAAGTTTTCCCCACATGACTACATCTCCATAAGAAAATTATGTGTAACAGTTAATTTATTGTTTTAAACTTTCTCAAAGTATAAGGCAAAAAATGTTCACCATTTTTATTTATAAATATATTTATATTATTTATAGTTGTATTGATCAATATTTATATAATGATCATTTTAAAACTTTTTCTTTCCTCATTTCTATACAATGTTGTCTTCTGATATGTCATTTACTGCTTTATGAATTATTTTAGAGTACAGAATTTCCTAACTCACACTGGCATTAAGTAGCCCTAGGTGGCATCATTATTCTTTTTCTTTTTGAGTACCGGGGATTGAACTCAGGGGCACTCAATCACTGAGCCACATATCTAGCCCTGTTTTGTATTTTATTTAGAATTAGGATCTCTCTGAGTTGCTTATTAGTACCTTGCTTTTGCTGAGGCTGGCTTTGACCTCACTATACTCCTGCCTCAGCTTCCAGAGCCACTGGGATCATGGTGTGTGTCTCCGTGCCTGGCATGGAATCATTACTCTTGATATGATCATTTGAAAAGTTTTGAAGTGATACTAAATAATATCCTTTGGAAAAAAAATACCCATATATTTTTTGGGACTGTGGACTGAACCCAGGTTATGCTTTGTCACTAAGTACATCCCCATCTCTTTTTATTTTTATTTTGAGCTAGAATCTTATTAAGTTGCTTAGGGCCTCACTAAATTGCTGAAGCTGGCCTCAAACTTGTGATACTCCTGCCTCAGTCACTGATTCCCCAGGATCACAGGTGTGCACCACCATCCGAGGCTCCTTTAAACTTAAAATATTGTTTTCTCTAAACCTGATTAATTCAATGGTGCAAAATTAATTCTTACTTGAGAAAAAGCAGTTTTTGACAAAATATCAAATCATGTATTTTATAATAAGAAGTTTGGAAGTAAAGAAAGTGCTGTGACAAAAATCACAATGGACTTATATAAAACGGTATTTTCTAGTTTGCAAATGATTTTTTGTTGCCTTGGCCCAACATAACTGACTGATGGGTGTCCAGCTCATCCTAGTATATGCAAGCTAAAAAGCCAATTGCTGAATAGAACTGTCTTGTTTCTGCCAAGAAGCTCTTTTTAACAGAATGTGAAAGAAATACTCCATGCAGACGACTGAATCCACACCACCAGCCATAAGATTGTGTCTAGAATGCCGTGGAAATCATTGAAGAGAATGCCATCTCCAAACCACCACCACCAGCCTGGACAAAGCATCAGAGAGTGTGCTGGAGGGAATAATGCTGCCCTGGCCCCAGGGGAGGGACCAGATGGGACCTTATAGCTCTTTTCTACTACTAATTTCTATGATAATTCTAAATTGCCACATGGCATACGTATTTTTTTTTTTTTAATCTAAGGCAGAATATCAGGCAATGAAGTGACCAGGATTTTAATGAAAGGTATCTTTCATGAATTGTATCTATTCAGACTTTATTTCTTACCTCCCTCCATCCATTAGTAACACATCATATACAGTTATGTTGGGAGAACTTTATGGAGACAAGTCAAGCACAATGCATTTTTAATCATTATCAATACTAATTAGAAACAAATATATTCTAGGAGGTCAGATGCTTTTTGCAACAATTTTATGAAGTCATTCACATCAAGCTCTTTTTTTTTAATAATTAAAGATCATGCTTGGATCTAAGGATTATGGCATGCCAGGTAATGTTTGAGAGAAAAATTAGAAAAGTAAAAGTTCTTCCAGTTTTTAGAGACAAGATCAGGAATTAGAGGAGGAAATATTAGTGATCTGAGAAAATTACAAAAGAATTTCTGTCCATTCTTACTGGTGAGTCCAAATGCAACTTCACTTGGCCTTTCTTTTCAACCAGATGCAATTTCTCTTTCTTTGACCTTCCAGAACTTTATTTGCACTTCTCAGGTGGCCAATGCCACATTCTTTGATTTATTAGAGGCATTTCACTTGCTATTTGGAGGTGCTCTGAATGAGACCATTATATTTTGTTCAGCATTACTCTTTATACACAACAAACTGCAACACCCAGGGAGGATAAAGGAAGAGATTGAACTTGGAGAAAAATACCGACAGAGCCATGAGCATCTCATGATAGCCATAGTTTCTCAGACACAAACTGATGTGAGTAAATCATGAAAATAAAATCTTCCTAGGTTCAAGGTAGCATAAATTATATTTAATATAAATTAACAAATACTATAAAAATCATACTATTTTCAACATAGACTGAAAAAATTCTCACTTCAATTTTCAGTTCAGTTTTTTAATACTTACCTCTAAAGAAAAACTGCTGGGAATCTTGATTCTGGGAGCATTAGTAAGTTACATTTTCAAAGCAAAAAGATACAAACTCTGGTAGAGTGGGATGAGGCACTTCACAGCCCTGCTGGCATTGATGCAGGTGGCACATATAAGGCTTGGCAGCAGCTTCCCACTCACTATGGCTCCATCGAACAGAGGACCAAAAAATGGAACCTGTTGATCAGAAATAGAAAAATGCTTACTTTTCAAAAACCAATAAAAACTGTACGAGAACAGATAACAAATGTCTAAAACCTGGAATGAACACATAGACAGTCATCCTCAGGGAAAGTGCTTACCTTCACAGGACATGGGTAGAGTGGGCTTTCAACTCAAGGAAAGCAGGACTGCTCTAGGAACTCTTGAGCAAAACTTCTTGTTAATAGGTAATTATCACCAGTTTTTTTTTTTAGTGTGTGCGTGTGTGTGTGTGTGTGTGTGTGTGCGCGCGCGCGCTGTCATTTATAGAAATGCCACTATTCTTTCTAAGGACTTATATCATGTAGATTATGTGTGGTACACAGATCCCAACTTTGGAACTGGTAATGTTCCTGTTATGGATTCGATACATGTTGGCTCTTAAAGGAGATGATCACCATTGCAGTCAACAATTACATGGTCCTACTTAAGAGTTCTTCTTCTTCTTGAGCTTTTCTCTTTGCTTTCAAGATACTGCAGGACCTCATTTCCTTCTACTTCTTGAATAGACACATGGCTTTTCTTTGCTGGACCAATTTCCACCAGGTAGGTAACCCGCAAAGTTTTCATGCCTGTCTTTTTTGGGTTTCTTTTATTTCTTCAACTTGCTTCATTAGAATTTCATTCACTAATAGTGATATGGTTAGCACCAAGAGATCAGGGACTAACTCTGCCTTGTAACTCATATTAATTTACTATTTCACTTGCTTAGTCATCTATTCACAAAATATTTATTATGTGATGGACACTGTTTTATTCACTGAGGACACCGCAGTAAATAATACAAAAATCCCTAATTCCACTGAGTTTATAGGTTATTGTAGATTTCAGATAACAAACATTAAAAACACATACAATGCCTCACCTGTGTGAGGCAGTAGACGTGTTAAGGTGAAAATAAAACAGAAGAGAACAATTAAACTTTTTTTTGAGGTATGGTATCTCTAATTAGGTCAAATGGGAAGGAAGGGTTTTAAGAGAAGATGATATTTTAGTAAAAGTCTAAAGGAAGTGGCAGAAGGAATCACAGGTAGGAGTCCTTCAGATTCCATCTGATGGAAGAACAGACCAGGCAAAGGAAGAGCAAATGCACAGGCCTAAGGTGATGGGAGTGGAATTGAATGTTTAAGCAACAGCAAGGAAGTCACAGTGACTATAGCCAAGTAAGTGAAAGAAAAACCTGAAAGAGATGAAAGTCAGGTAGTAAAAGGACCTTGTGGGAAATTATAAGGATTTTCGATTTCTAGTCTAAATAAAATAGAAGTTTTGTGGAAGGCTTTAGGGAAATGGGGTATATGATCTAACCTACATTTTTAAAGTATTGTTCTGGGCACTGTGATGGGAAAACTGCAAAGGGAAATTATGGAGACCAGTTGGGAAACTACTGAATAATCCAACAAGAGATAATGATAGTATGGATCAAAGCGGTGGCAGGAGAAGAAGGTGGCTTTCTGGATATATACTCTGAAGGTAGAGTTGATAGGATCTGAAGAGGATGGCTGATGAAGTGGAAGGGAAAGAGAGGTGTCAAGGATGATGCCATGATTTCTGCTGTAGAAAGGGTCATAAGTTCATTTTAAGATGTACTCAATTAGAGATGCCTATTGGATATCTGGTGGTAATATGTTGAGGAGGCAGTGGATGTCCCAGGCAGGAAGGCAGAGGAGAGGCTTAAATTGGAGATATAAACCTAAGAGTTGTTCACCTGCAGATGGTGTTTCTAAGCACAAGAGCATAGGAAGAGCTTGAAGGACTATGTCCTGTGGCCCTGATGTTAGAGGTTGAGGTCATGAGAAACAAGAAAAGAAGACTAAGGAGTGGCTTGGGAATGGAGGAGACAAATTCCTTTGAGTCATTCAGAAACTTTAGGTGATTGTAAATATACTTGCTCAACAGGGACGAAAAGCTGAGTTTAGGTTCTGATTAGGACTATTACATGTAGTCTTTCATTAAATTTACCATTGAATATAGGATCAGGAAGTGGTATGAAGATTTGCTTAATGTTTTCTTCTAGGAACTTTCATATTTCAGTCTCTAATCTGTCTCAATTTTTGCAGTAGCTCTGTACCTGGCATGTGGCTACAATACAGGTACCTCCTGAATGAGTGAAGTTTACTAATATTTTAAATAATTTAATGAATGCAAGTCTTCAGCCTAGATTCTTTAACATCTTCCAGTAACTGCTTATTAGTAAAATACCTTTTCTGTGGTTGGCATTGGAGGAGAGGCCTGGGATACACAACAGGAAATACAAGACTGTTTTCACCTATAAGGAGCTAACACAATTGTAAAACACTATGGACTGATATCAACAAAAATGTAGAAGTTCTGGGGCTGGGGATGTGGCTCAAGCGGTAGCGCGTTCACCTGGCATGCGTGCGGCCCGGGTTCAATCCTCAGCACCACATACAAACAAAAGATGTTGTGTCTGCCGAAAACTAAAAAATAAATATTAAAATTCTCTCTCTCTCTCTCTCTCTCTCTCTCTTTAAAAAAATGCAGAAGTTCTTTACTAATTTTTAGCAAATTAAATCCAATAATATAAAAAATAATACATCTTGATCAAGTGGAATTGTCCATAGGAACTCAAACTTGGTTGAACATTCATAAATTAATTCATTAATTCAATTTACCTCATTAACAGAATAAAGAAGGAAAACTAGAAGACTTGCTTAATGAATGCTGAATAAAACACTGGATAAAATTCAATCTTGTTCGTGATTTTAGAAAAGCACAACAGAACAACAACTCTCAGAAAACTGGAAATATATGGGAACTATTTCAGTTTAAAAAAATCTGCAAGAGGAAAAAAACGGCATCATAATTCATGATAAAATATTGAATGCTTTCTACACAGTATCTAAAAAGGCAAGAATATTTATGCTTACCTCTTTTATTCAACAATTTTAATGTTCTGATCATTACAAGTAGAAAAATAAAAGAAGGAAAAAAGAAAAAATACATGAGAAAGAAGTAAAATTATTTTTATTCACAGAAAAACATGATTATATAAATGAAAAATCCAAAGGAATTTAACTAGAACTAATTAGTGAATTAGCATAAGTCACAAGATACGGTGAACTCCCCAAAACAGAACCCTAAAGAAAGAAGTCAAAGAAGACCTTAGAAGATGGAAAGATCTCCCTTGCTCTTGGATAGACAGAATTAATATTATCAAAATGACCATACTACCAAAAGCACTATACAGATTTAATGCAATTCTGTTCAAAATTCCAATGACATTCCTCATAGAAATAGAAAAAGCAGTTATGAAATTCATCTGGAAAAAATAAGAGACCCAGAATAGGTAAAGCAATCCTTAGCAGGAAGAGTAAAGCAGATCGTATCACTGTACCAGACTTTAAACTATACTACAGAGCAATAGTAACAAAAACAGCATGGAATTGGCACCAAAACAGACTGGTAGACTAATGGTATAGAATAGAGGACACAGAGACTAACCCACATAATTACAATTATCTTATATTACACAAAGGCACCAAAAACTTACATTGGAGAAAAGATAGTCTCATCAACAAATGGTGCTGGGAAAACTGGAAATCCATATGCAACAAAATGAAGTTAAACCTCACCATGCACAAAACTTAACTCAAAATGGATCAAGGACCTAGGAATAAAACTAGAGACACTGATTCTAATAGAAGAAAAAGTAGGCCCTAATCTTCATCATGTGGGATTAGGCCCCAACTTCCTTAATAAGACTCCTTTGGCGCAAGAATTGAAATCAAGAATCAATAAGTGGGATGGACTCAAAATAAAAACTTTCTTCTCAGCAAAAGAAACAATCTGTGAGGAGAACAGAGAGCCTACATCTTGGGAGCAAATCTTTACCCCTCACACATCAGATACAGCACTAATCTCTATAAAGAACTCAAAAAGCTAAGCACCAAAAAAAACAAAAAAACAAAAAAAACCAACAAAAAACAAATAACCCAATCAATAAATGGGCCAAGGACCTGAACAGACACTTCTCAGAGGATGATATACAATCAATCAACAAATATATGAAAAAATGTTCATCATCTCTAGCTATTAGAGAAATGCAAATCAAAACTACTCTAAGATATTATCTCACTCCAGTCAGAATGGCAGCTGTTATGAAGACAAACAATAATAAGTGTTGGCGAGGATGTGGGGAAAAAGGTACACTCATACACTGCTGATGGGACTGCAAATTGGTGCAGCTAATATGGAAAGCAGTATACAGATTTCTTGGAAATTTGGGAATGGAATCACCATTTGACCCAGCTATCTCACTACTAAATCTAAAGGACTTAAAAACAGCATACTACAGGGACACAGTCACATCAATGTTTATAGCAGCACAATTCACAATAGCTAAACTGTGGAGCCAACCTAGATGCCCTTCAGTAGATGAATGGATAAAAAAAATACGGCATATATATATATATATATATATATATATATATACACACACACACACACATACACACACACACACACACACAATGGAATATTACTCAGCAATAAAAGAGAATAAAATCATGGCATTTGCAGGTAAATGGATGGAGTTAGAGAACATAATGCTAAGTTAAGTTAGCCAGTTCCAAAAAACCAAATGCCAAATGTTTTCTCTGATATAAGGAGGCTGATTCATAGTGGGGTAAGAAGGGGGAGCATGGGAGGAATAGATGAACTCTACAAAGGGCAGAGGGGTGGGAAGGGAAGGGAGGGGGCATGGGGTTAGAAATGATGGTGGAATGTGATAGACATGTATGAAGACATGAATTGGTATGAATATACTTTGTATAAAACCAGAGATATGAAAAATTGTGCTCTATATGTGTAATAAGAATTATAATGCATTCCACTGTCATATATAAATTAAAAAATTAATTAAAAAAGATTTATTTTTTAGTTGTAATTGGACACAGTACTTTTATTTATTTATTTTTATGTGGTGCTGAGGATCAAACCTAGGGCCTTGCATGTGC